TTACAATATAATTGAGGATGTCCTGATTCGTTTTGTGCCGAAATACAAACATAAGAAAAACACGTATCCGTGTTGGTTTAGCAATAGTTTAATAAATCGCTATAAAGAAAAGTACAAACTTTTAAAAAAATACAAAAAATACAAAAATCCAAGGGATAAAATAGAACTAGATATTATAAGTAAGAGATGTAAAAAAATGACCACAGACTGTTACAAAACTTTTTTAAATAATAGTGAAAAAAAGATACAACAAGATCCGAAACAGTTTTGGTCATTTATTAAAAGTAAACGGAATAAAGGTAGTTCATTTCCAGCCGAAGTTTCCAATGGCGTTGATTCCAGTACAGATGGATTTGAGATTTGTGAAATGTTCTCTAATTACTTTGCGTCTATTTATGGGTCAGATACTCAAACACTGTTGGATAATAATTATGTGGCAAGGTACTTATTGCCATCAAGCTTAGGCTATGGACTTACGAATGTTCAATTTTCTAAAGATGAAGTTTTGGCTAGGTTGAAGACATTGGATGTCAATAAGGGTGCAGGTTCTGATGGAATTCCACCTCTATTCATAAGGGCATGTGCAGAGAATTTGGCTATTCCAATACATCTCATATTTAACTTATCACTAAAAACTGGTATATTTCCCTCACAATGGAAATTAGCAAAGGTAATCCCTATTTATAAATGCGATGACGAAGCTTTGGTGTCCAGTTACCGACCTATTTCCCTACTCTGTACAATTGCAAAGGTTTTCGAATCCTTGATATGTCCATTGATTCAAAATTTCATAAAACCATTAATCACGGACTTTCAGCATGGTTTTGTCAAGGCTAGATCAGTGAATACAAATTTAGTAACATTTGCTGATTTTATTACTGAAGCTGTAGATACTAACTTGCAAGTTGACGCTATTTATACAGACTTTAGCAAAGCTTTTGATTCAGTACCCCATAATATTCTGCTGCAAAAACTATCTTTATATGGTTTTGCAGATCCTTTGCTATCATGGCTGAGATCGTACCTAACCAGTCGATCATTTTACGTTGTTATTAATGGATTTAAATCGCTCAATAAAATGATTACATCAGGTATCCCTCAAGGCTCTAATATTGGTCCGATTCTCTTCAACATATTTATAAATGATGTTGTTTCGGGTTTTGAGTCGTCCTTAGCATATTTGTTTGCAGATGATTTGAAACTTGCAAGAATTATAAGATCTGTCTATGATTGTGTGCTTTTGCAACGCGATCTGGATAGACTAATTATGTGGTGTGAATATAATGGCATGTCTCTGAATTTTAGGAAATGTCTTCATATAAAATTCACTAGAAAACACAATAAAATTGCCTTTGATTATCACATCTATGGTGAAACTTTAAGTGAAGTGAGCACTATAAGAGATCTGGGTATACTTCTAGACAGTAAATTAACATATTTACCTCAAATAGAGTTTGTAATAGCAAAGGCATCAAGAGCTTTAGGTTTTGTAATTCGCATTGCCAAGGAATTTGTAAATCCAAAAACTAAAATAAAATTATATTATTCATTAGTTCGAAGCGTCTTGGAATATGGTTCGATAGTTTGGCGACCACATTATTCGACCCATATTTTAAGATTAGAGCGTATACAAAAAAGGTTTCTCTGGCATTTGGCTTTTTCAGCTCGACAATCTAAGACCTTGGTGGCCTACGGGGACAGACTTATCTATTTCAATATGGTATCACTTGATAAGCGTAGAACATTAATAGATTTAATGTTCTTATATAAGTTGTTTAGGAACAGAATTGACTGTTCTCAGCTTCTTGCCAAATTTAATTTTCGATTGCCCGTACACTATCCCCGTAGTTACATCAGTCTAATGTCCGTGCCGTTCCGTAGAACCGTTCTTGGTGCCAACTCCACTGTACCACGTGTTTGCAAGCTGTTGAATGATTGCAAGCAACACTTGGATATTCACTTCGATACAGAAGGGGATTTCTATAGGAAAGCATTACAGTTAATTTAAATAGCTAAAAAACTTATGTGAAGCAATCATCTACTGAATCTAAAAAACTATACCAATGTCAAATACTTCAAGAGATTGTTATACTATATTATTGTTTTTGTTAATTAGCATGCTGTGTTTCCTTTAAAATGATTGTACACTAAGTATAAATAGACGGTAATTTAAATATTAAATCTTATCAGTGTAACAATTACTAGGAGACCAAATAAAGATAAAATAAAAATAAAATAAAATAATCTGCATCATTCTTTGAGGGTTCAATCGTGAAGAGTCTTCATTAATTCCGTTTTAGTTGCAAACTTTAACATTTGTTATATTAATAGGAGATTTAATGTAGAAGTAACAAATTATCAAAAACATGGGAAAGTTATTTTAAATTTCGTTTTTATAATAAATTTTAATAAAAGTTGTAGTACGAGATTAACGAACAGGGGAAAATACCTTTATTATAGTATTTATTTTATTTTATTTATATGCTTTTTTATATTCACTTATAAGGTTATACTGAGTATATAGTATAATATATTTTTGTTCCAACTTGAGAAATTTTGACTTTAATTTTTATCCTGATAAAAAATATGAGCCGGTAGGTGGCGGGTGGCGGTAGAAAACAAAAAAAAAAAACACCGGTTTAACTAGTATGACACGAATCATAATAAATATAAAAATATATTTTATATATTCATGATGGGATTATCTGTTGATCAATACGTCACAATAAACAATTTATTCATGCATTTTTTACAGCAAGTGTTGCATCAAAAAATGAGTTCATAAATACACATGTAATAAGTCCGGTTTTTGTACCAGACATTTTTTGTAATGTGGTTCAAAATAAATAAATACACGTGTATAATATTCTTATTTTATGAATAAAAAAACTGTAGGTACTCTAATGTTTTTATAAAAAAAAATACTATTTAAAAATAGTTATAAATAAAAAATTGTCTTAAAATTTAGATATATATAAATATACAATCCTAGTTTCGACACGAAATAATGTCAATAAATCCCTTCCAGCATTCATTTGCCTTAATTTTATATTAAAACAAATAATAATATGAACATAACGTGTGATATTAGTGGACATAACCATAGTGCAATAAAACTGTGATACTTCATAAGGTAGTGTTGTGTGTATCGATACATTATATAGATAGTTGATAAAAATGATGCTCTACATGACCCAGAGCGAAGAAGTGCCTGTGAAGAGACCGCCCAGAAGGAGGTTTATAAGTGCCAATATCAGGGTTGGTATTACTTTGGAAATTATTAACATTTTTATTTATCTTTTTTTTATATACAACTTAGAGTGGCAAACAAGCTGACGGTCCACCTGATGGAAAGTGGTAACCGTCGCCTATAGACATGAGCAGTACCATGGAGATAACAGAGTATACTGTTTCGCCCATGATACCCCCCATGCGTTGCCATTCCTGAGGACTCAGGTGTTATTCCTCTGTACCCAGTAAATTCACGCTATATTCCACCCTTCAAACCGAAACACAGCCATGCAAACACAACTGCTCCCTTACCTATTTATATATAAAAAAAAACTATTGTATACAAATTTATATATAAATAGATAGTTTGAATATAAATTTAGCTTCTAATTAAAGAAAAATAAACCTTAGTATCTGTGTGTTAAATACAAATCCGTGTTTTCCAAATCGGTTTACAACTGATGGAGTTATGAGGTAACAAACATATATACAAAAATACAATATTGAGAACCTTTTTTGTGTAGTCGGTTAAAAATTGTGCCATACCATTCCGTGCTGTGGTCAAGTGGTCAATTATAAAACCGACCATAGCATCGGAACGATAATACTCCTTGTATGTAGGGCATAAAATCAACGAACCGACACAAATAAACTATAATACAACCATAGTATACCATATTACGAGTACATTATGACCTCGATGTAATCACAAAAAAAGTTAAATTAAAAAAAAAGTGCCGCCATCGTTCCGCTAAACTAACTACAGTATGTTCACATCCGGTACCGACGCTATCTGATGTTACCTCACATGTTTAACTAACATGTAAATTATAAGGATATGCAGTTAGTGCACACTGTATATAATACATAATCTCCAATCTATTCATTATTGCACTATAAATCATTGATACAATACTTCTGTCAGCTTTAATTACAAATGTATGTTTTATGTATTTTTTTTATGCAACTTACAATGGCAAACAAGCTGACGGCCCAAATGTTGAAAAGTGATAACCGTCTCCTATAGACATGAACAGTATCATGGACATAACAGAGTATACTGTATCGCCCATGATACCCCCCATGCATTGCCATTCCTGTATACTTAGGTGTTATTCCTCTGTAACCTGTAAATTCACTGCCATATCCCACTCTTCAAACTGAAACACAGCTATGCAAAAACTGCTACACGGTAGAAACACGAATGGGACAGAGGTGCCAAAGCAAACGACTTTTGCACAAAGTCTCCGTCTGGTATGTATGAATTGTATGATCTAGCTTGTTATGCAATTTTTTGTGTTTCTTTGTTTTTATATTTGTGCCATACAAATGGTTTATTACTGACTTTACTTCTAGGAGTGTACCTAGAAACATTTATTTTACTTGTAAAATCGCGTGTAATCGTCTGAATTAGTAAATTCGTCTGATTTTATATTCACACATATATTTATCATCCATAGTGTTCTGCCAACGTATACCAATAGACCGGGTTACTAGTTCTTTTCCACAAAAAAAAATTGAATGAATTTTAGTTAAAATAGAGACAATTATTCTATAATCTGTTACAAATTTTTAATAAAATTTAATAAATATGTAAATAAATATATGTCTGTTCCGAATCATCATTAATTATAGAATTAAACATTTTGAAAAAAAAAAAAAGCAACAGCTGAGTTTCTTGCCTGTTCTTCTGTAAGTTTTCTTCCACAAACTCCTGTCACATGTCGTTCAAACATATTGTAATAACAAAATACCTTTGTTGTCCACAGCGGCACCATGCTGGCATCTCGCAGTCTTCGTGCAGCGATGGCTCCCTACTCAGCGTGGGCTCATCGGAGATGGACGAAGACAGTAGCAGCGGTCACCACCACTCGCACGATCACTCCGCGAGGAGTGACCAGTCAGACATATACAGTGGGTATTTTAGTCATTTTATCTGCAACTTAGCAACAAACAAGCTGACAGTCCACCTGATGGTTTATCTCTTACCTCTATATATATATATATATATATATATATATATATATATATATATATATATATATATATATATATATATAATTGTGGTTATTTACACAGATATTTATTATTTTAATAATATTTTTACAGATCTATTTTTTATGCTTTAATTCCTTCTACCCAAAGGTTGTCTGGAAGAGACTGCTTAGCAATAAGACCACCCTTTGTAGGTACTACATTATACTTATTGAAAATTTTTCAACAAGTCCTGTAATATTGGTGTAATAAAGTGTTAAATAAATAAATAGTTAAAACTGGGGTCAGCCTTAGTGTACCTGGCGTCCTTGAGTAAGTATGGACGGCACTCCAGATGATGAAAAAACTTGTCCATTTCAATGTCGCATACAAGCCGGGTTTAATATTGCCCACACTGGGTCCGCGTCTCTTACATCGCCATATAGCTAGTCAATGAATTCGTTTCTGAGTTGCAATTTTTCTAAACTTAGGAGTATTTTAAGTTAATGTTATAATTTGATAAATTGATGGTGAAATTACTGTATTATGGACTCTTTTAGAGTTTACATTGGTCCTAAATATAAAGATTTTGCTGTTATATCCATTGAATTTACAAGGTACATAAAAATATCACATGAGTCCTCAGAAATGGCAACGCATGGGGGGTATCATGGGCGAAACGGTATACTCTGTTATGTCCATAGTACTGCTCATGTCTACAGGCGACGGTTACCACTTACCATCAGGTGGGCCGTTAGCCTATTTGCCATTTTAAGTTGCAAAAAAAAATTTAATATTTAATTTTAGAGATCATTTTAGAGAAATAGCGCTTTAGAATCGACCCCAATATTAATCATAAACTACTCGACGCCGTCCTAAGACTGGTCGAATATTAAAATCAAAATACTACAATTATTACAAAATATTGGAAGGACTTAGGAGAACGGAAGTTTTTTAATTCTTTAATAAGTTTGTATGCAAATCTGAAGTTCCGAAACTATCCGCTATAGGCGCACTTCAGTTTTCAATACAAATAATCGATGTAAATGCTAATTCTGACTTATTGTAAATCTTTATACTCTAGCTAGCTACTCAGAGCATCTAAAGCGAAACTAGTTAAACTTACTAAAAAACATTCATGAATACCAATAATTAACTAGAATCTTTAGGCTCTTTCCGGGCCGGTGCTTAAGACTTGATTTTCTACTCTATGTGCTGAGTTTCTTCTTTTCTCTTCTGAATAGATTATATATATTTCTTTTATTATATATACCTAAGCTAATTATATTTATAACGATATATATATATATATATGTATGGTATATCATTCCAGACACATCAGAACCACCGACAGGGGTGGCGCCACTATCACATTCAGCCGCTAAACACAAAATGGCTGTGCGTCCAAGACGCACACATGGCGCGCCGCGGCGAAAGAAAAATAATCCCGTAAGTGAATTTTTTAATTTTAAGTAGTAACGAACATCGCATCTGTTTATTACTTTACATATGTCACACAAAAAAAATCGGGACTTCAATTGTGGTAAAACCAGTTATTTGATTTAAAAACTACATTATTAAACTGAGGGTCTACCATGGTGTGTTTGTACCAAAATCGGACCAATAAATGGAGTTGAACATTTCGTTCGTCATACATCCTATCATAACCTCAAATTTCTGTTTCGTTTGGCTCCGAAATTTCGGAAAACATTTCATGGTAGGCCCTCTGATTTTGATAAAATTTCTGTGAATCTGTGAGTATATTTATTCAGATAAAAAAAAAGTTCAAATCGGTTTATAATTAATGGAGTAATGAGGTAACAAACAACGAAAGAAACATCCGGATAGACAACTTCTTTCTTTAAAGTCAATTGAAAATGTTCAATTACTTTTTCAAAAAAATATTAACAGCAAATCCTATCTGCAATTGCCAACCCGTCTGCCAAGCGTGGCAACTATTGCCAAAACCCCCCAAGGAGGAGGCCTATACTCAGCAATGGACAGTTAACGGCTGCAAATATCTAGTAAAATAAATAATCTAAAGTCAAGTCCAGTTAATAATATAGGTACACATTATATTATTAATTACTTATCTGTCAGAATTTTCAACTGAAAAGATAAACAGAATCTGTTCAGAGAATGTATTGAATGAACTAATATTGTAGAAAGGTTACGTATAAATATACCTATATCAATAGTATCTACAAAGGTAATGAGTATTATTATATAAATATATAATATCTCTTTTTATATAGATCTTTTATACAGAATACAAATTGGATTTTTAATGTTTTCATCTTAAGAAACAACAAGTAATTAATATGATTTTGTTAATTATTTTTTTTAAACGAAAACGTTTTCTCCAATGTTTGCTCCATATAAATTGGGAGAGTATTTCTTAAACGAAATATTAATTTATTGAGAATATCTTGGATTATAATAATAATAATAAATTTTAAACTTAATAATAAGCATTTTTAAATAGTCACTTTTTTTTATAAATTATACACCCAGTTCGGAATGCAATTTCAGCTGAGAAGAACGGGCAAAGAAACACAGCTGTTGCTTATTGTTTCAAATAAAAGTTAAGTTTACAACAAAAACTATGAACGGATAAAATGACTATCACAAACTTCATATCGATAAAAGAAAGAAAATAAAAAGCTACAAAGCTACAATCGATCACAGTATTCTTGAACTATCTTTCAGTAACACTTTTAGGTAACTTTAATGGTAACTCTTGAAACTTAAATTTCGCTTGGAGTACTTCTTCGTGTAATATTTATTAATTTATGTATTTAATACATTTCCAGATTGTCGCATCAGCCTTGCCGATAACGCCCGAACTGAACGAAGAAATGATACGAAGCACTACTCCTGAAGTGTCACACAAAACCTCAGAAGTTGTTACTGGTATGTACAAATAAATATTCGACTTGCAGTAAGTAAGCCGTTTTGTCCACGTTAAGATAAAATATGTCATATGCAGTAATCTTATATCCTAATCTACCACAAACAATTGGACCAAATGTGTTATTTGCTCCATCTATTCAAATTTCTTTTAAGTCTGTTTGGCTGTATTTGGTTAGCAGCAAATGTCTATAAAAATTATATAACCTACCCTATTAGTTGTTATCGACAGGTATCAATTTCAAGTGTTTGCTTTTTTATAAATACTTAATTTATTTTCATATTTTTTCTTCATCATTACAGAATCATTCTCTTCATCGACTACTACGAAGCATGTGATCGTCAAAGAACAACACCTGCTAGTGAATCGAGAACTGCAAAGAGTTCTAGAAACGCCGAGCGACACAAAACTGAAGTCTTCGTCGCTACCCCCGGGGTTAGCGCTCAGTCAGCTCATGGGACAGTCGCCGGCGAAACTAAGCATAGCAGAGTCAGACACGCCACGATCCTCGATAAAGAGAAGCAAGTCTAGTACTCAAGGCCAGTCTTTAAGAGATGGTTCGCCCAAAACTCAAGTGAGTTCAGAAATGAACACTTACCACTCGGAGGAACGAATGACAAAGTATCGTACAGACAAAAAATACGCCGAAGAATCTTGCCTCGAAAAGAAATCTAAGTCAGAAAAGAAAATTGAGAATGAAGTCATAAAGTCGTCGAAAAAGGAAGAGTCATTTTTCAGTCGACTGCTCTTGAGGAAGAGTGGAAAAAAGTCGAAAAAAGATCAGACCGATGGAGAAGGACAACAAGATGTAAAAAAGCCTAAAACTGAAAAACCGATGGCGCAATATAAAAGTGTTGATGCAGAGAAGAGTGGATTCACCTATTCAGATGGACAAGGGTATAAACCGGTGCCCGCTGAAAGAACGCATAGATCTGCAGGACAGAAAGCTTTCGCAAATCAGATGCACAAAAGATTTGACAATAAAGGTGGATACGTACAAGATAGTGCGTATAAAGATGTATATAGCGCAGCCAAAGTATCCGGTGTGGAATATAATATAACTGATCTCAAAATTGCTGAGGAAACTGACAAGATGTTGAATTTAGAAATGAAGAGTCGGTTCAGTAGACGTGACGAATTTAGTGAAAAGATTGATAGAGCAAAGAGGACATCTTCTAAAGAAGCTATTGATGAGAAAAAAGACCCATTCGTTTTACACCATGATAAAGCTAAAAGGCCGACTTCTGTTCAAAGAACTATTGATCCGTTGTCATCAAAAGCATTTATTAGTAATGAAGTATCCAACAGAGTACAAGAAGAAGCTTTGTCACCGACACGAATCACTTTAGATGACGAACCTCCAAGCAGAGGGATGCGAATGAAAAGTGTTCATAATGATTACACATTTCATAGTGGCAGTATGCCTAAGAGTATCCCTTATTTCAATCCTGGTATATCTATCTCTTCTTCGCCACCTAAGACTATCCGACATGCAAGTTCAGAAAATGTCAAACGTCGATCTTCGGAGCACATTCCAGAATTTAATGAAAAAGCAGTAGAAAACAAACAGGAAACAATGCATCATATCAACAAAACGGAAGAATCATACGCGAGATCAGAGATGCGTTCACTTGGGGACGAGTATATAGAATCTAGAAATAGCATTGGCAAGTCTCATAGTTTTAGATATGCTTCTGAGACAACATCAATAAGTTCACAGGAGAATCAAATGCCTAGTTTACCTGCAATAGTGGGTATATCTGAACCTCTTTTAGAAAGTTGGGAAGTAAATTACAGAAGAAACGTCAGTGAAAGACATGATTTCTCAAAAAAAGTATCAGCTAGGAACTACAGCGTTCTTCACACTAATGCAGATGCAAACTATGACAGTCTACCAAGCACCGACAGTAGTTATTTAGACAGTCTCAAAACGGATGCTAATGAAGATAGAAAACTGTTTACTAACAGCATACATATTACAATGGATAGTCATAAGAGAGACAGCGATATATCTCAGATAGAGGCTAAAATTGATGATATTATTAGTTCTCCTAAGCCTATTATAACCCCAATACTCAAGTCTAGTTCGTTAGATAGTGTTAAGAGTAGTCCAGAAAAACCTATTGATGAAAGAAGGAAGACTATATCTGTTGAAAGCGCTTTGAGTCAAACTAGCAAGATCAGTAGCAATATTCTAAAAGATATTAAACAAGAGCAAGATCCAGAAACTTTTATTTCTGTTACACATATTAACAATGAACAAATTCCGGTGTTGAACAAAAATGCAGAAGTTATAAAAGGAAATAAGAGCGATGACAAAATTCATAAAAGTGGCACTAAACCTGGAGTCCCCGAATTTCTAAATATACAGTTGAACAGAGTTGATACAAAACCTACCAGTAATATTGTATTAACTGCTAATATAACGCCAAAGAAACTTGATAGTCCACAAACTGATAAGGAATTAGATATAGAAAGTTTTCGTGTAACAGATACTAAACTAACGCAAAATGTATTATCCGTGGGAAAGGACTCGAATACTAATAATAATATTGAAAATGTAGCAGAAATTACGGAAGAGAAAATATCACCTGTGGTTACGAGAAGAACTGTACAATCGGTAACACCGCAGAGTCCTTCTACGCCAAAATCTTTCTATAAAAGGAAGGCAACGAGTGTTGAATTACAAGACAAAATAGAGAAACCGAGAGCTAATTCTATGAGTACAGATGATAATACAGAGAAAAATTATGACAACATATCTATCGATCAAAAATCACATTCCAGTTTTGGCAGTAAAAGTTCTATACAGAGCATCGATAGCAATGATGTTAGAACTCCAGACAGGCACGAGGAAGCTGTTGTTTATCGCAAGAAACCTGTGATGTTATCAAAAGAACTTCGTGGTGACAGGAAAAATGATGATGAACCAGAATTAATGAAAGTATTTGCACGTAGATCATTGAAACTCAAAGATACAGAAGCCGACTCTTTAGCTCAAGAAATCGCGGAAGCGCACAATCTGAAAAATGAAAATAGTGACAATGCCACCGTTACAAAAAGTAAAATGCTCAAGAATGAATTTAATGCTTCAATAAAATCTAGAGATAGTGACAAAGAAAATGAGGATGCAAGTGCAAAAGATCAAGCTGAAGAGAAGAGATTGGTCGATATCGCTGCCCGAGTCAGTCAATTTGGTGTTCCTCATTACCAGAGAAGTATAAGTGTGAACACTGTATCAAATCCGAAACGAGAAAGCGCTCCTGTATATAGAAGTGACGTAAATAAGTATAAAAAAGAAGTATCAGATTCCACACCGGAGAAGAGACTTAGAAATAGAACATTCCCTGATCCATCGACGGACAGGGATGATATTAAAAACATTGCTAAGAGCGAAGCAATGGCGTATAAAGCAGATACACTTACAAAAAGGCCATGGCAAAGGAAAGACAATGAGAAATTCAGACAATTGTCAGTTGAGAGCGAAAAGAGAGAGAGTGCTGTGATAGAAAAGGACGGAGAGACAGAGAAAGATGATAATGCGAAAGATAGAGATGGTGCTGGTGGGGAAGCGGATGCATCACCACAATTCAAAGGTATACTGCAAATGCGCGCGGAATGGGAGAGGCGAGCAAAACAAGGGATGACCAAATAAACAATGGTGCTAAGGTAAGCAATATTAATTTGTTTAATATATACCTAGTAGTTGGTAGGTCTTTGTGAAGCATATAGAAACATAATAACACATTATTTATTATTACTACTAGGGACTAAGACTGTTGAAAATCTGTCTGTCTGTCTGTGTGTAGGGACTAAATCTGTTGGAAATCATATAGGCGAATAGTCAGAAGTAATATGACATATGTACTTGTATGGTTGTGTTTTGATTTGAAAAGAAGCTGCAAAGACAGTTAAATTATGGGGTACAGGGGTCGTTAGAAATAGCAGTCTGTGAAGGGTATCCTGTGTGTCTGAAGATATAATACTGTTGACATCTGTTGACAGTCACCGCTTTCCATCAGGTGGGCCGTCAGTACGTTTGCTATTCTTTGCCATATTTTTAAACATTGTTTGTATCATTTGGGAAGACAAACAGTAAGTTCATTTCTCGTTTTTTTTTTTTTTTATTTTTGATTAAAGATAGATGAAATAGTGATCCCATCTGCGCTATCGATATATTCTGGCGGAGTACTAGTGAAGGATGATAGGTGAGAATGAAAGCAGGGCAGTTGCCCCATTGTGATGAATTTATCAAGAATAAAACATGATAGATTGGGGGGAAAGAGACTGTTAGTAATGGAGAAAGAAACAAACATGATAGATTTCAAAGGTGATCGTGTGGAGGTCGACCTGACAGGTTATATTGTTTACAATAGGGTCGCTAGTCCACATTACTAGTAATGTATATATATATATATATATATATATATATATATATATATATACATTACTAGTAATGTGGACTCAACCTCAACCAAGCTATACGCTTTATCTTCAACCTCCGCAAATTCGATCACATTTCTTTATATCGGTCTCAGCTCAAGTGGCTTTCCATTCGTCAACGCAGAAACGTTAGAACTCTTTGTACCCTCTACACTCTTCTTCGAAACCCCCAGTCTCCTAACTACTTAAGGAGTAAATACCATTATCTTTTTGAAACCCACGAACGTAACCTTCGTTCCAATAATACTCTCCAATTATCCTTCCCCTCTCACCGTACTGGTTACGCTTCAAACTCTTTTCTCCTACATTCTTCACGACTCTGGAACGCGCTTCCTGATGCCATTAAGAGACTACCGACTAAACCGTCTTTCAAAAAAAGCGTTAACGCACACTTTTTATTTTTATCCGAGCAGTAAGTACTTTATATTATTCTCAATTTCGTGTATAAAATAGTATATGTCATATATGTGTAAGTATATTTGTTATTTATATATATTTATTCGTTTATATATGTAATTTTAGTACGTATGTATATTAATAATTAGTAGTACCGCATTCGAGTATTCTGACACTTCCCTATGGTTGACTGGGAGAGAATGCTTTTAGCATTAAGTCCGCCATGTACACATATTTGTACTAATGAATAAATAAATAAATAAATATATATATACAGTAACAACAATAAGTTATAAAGTATAAAATTGTTATTAACAATGTTAGCAAAGGCGAACTTATCTCTGAAAGAGATCTCTTCTAGTCAACCTAACACAGTGGCATAAGCAGTAGTGAGTGGGCAGTAGTAGTGGTAAACAGTAATTAAAATAAATATTTGTGTATATTTGTGTAATAATGTGTGTTTAAGAAAATTTTAACCCTGTATAAATGTTTTAACAAATGATTATTGTTTCGTTTCAGAGTCTCGTATGTACCATCGTGTATACAGCGTTCGTTACGTTACGTTAAGTGATAGTTTAGTTTAGACACCCTGTGTGGTTCGCAAATTATATTATTATTATTATTATAATTAATATAGACCTTTATCTGAAGTTGTTAAGACAATGTATTTTTGAGTGTTATTGCAATGAAATTAATAGTTCATAGTTATATTTTATGAAAGAATAATATTGTATTTAACATAAATATTATGGAATACAAATTTTATTCATATAGTTCTCGTTTGTTTTATTTATTACACATTTGTTACTTTTGTTCAGCCCGACTTAAAGTTTTGTTCCACAAAATACTTACTTGTACCCATGGACACGCAGGGATGAGGATGCCCTAAAAAAGTTATTAAATAAATAATATTAATTAAATAAATAAATAAGGGTAAAGAAATATCTAAAAATACATGGATCGACTGTGGGAAAGATGATATGGTCAGAATAAGAGTGAACGAAGAAATGACTGCGTCTGTGAATGGAATCTTAAATAATTTAATTTCGCAGAATTAGTGTATTATATACCATAATAAACTAAATCTATACATATAAAAAATAATCGCCATTTGTTAGTTTCACTAAAACTCGAAAACGGTTCGACATATTTGAATAATTTCTTTTCGTTTTATTCCTTATAACACATGAATGGTTTAAAAGAAAAAAAAACTGAAAATCCTTAAAGTTCAGCTTTTTTTTTTACAACACAGGGGGCAAACAAGCATGCGGCTCACCTGATGGTAAGTGACTACCGCCGCCCATGATCACCCACAACACCAGCGGCATTGCAGGTGTGCTGCCGGTCTTTTAAAAAGGAATATACTCTTTTCTTGAAGGTTATGTTGTCGTATCGGTTCGGAAATACTGCTGCTGGAAGTTTATTCCAAAGAATGGTTGTGCGTGGAAGAAAGTGCCTTCAGCTGAAAAATCTAAAAATTAAAATAGGTAAATAATGGGAATCATTAATTTGCAACACTTATAATAGATGGCGTTACAGGTGATATGAAGTTCATCGGGTTAGCTATAGCTAGTTCACAATATTTTTTTTATTTAAATATATTAATATATTAGAAATTTCGTTTATAAATGCCGCCTGTGAATTGCCCCATTGCGTGATCGTTTACTAATTGTCAAAATTCGAATTACTCCAACCATGTGCTTTGTGGAAATTGGAATCTCTTTTCTCTTCAAGAACATCTATGAATTTTAAAGGCAAGACCAAAAATCCTTTTAGCTGTTAAATTCAGCTAGAGAATGAGCACGAGTCAAATAATTTTTTTTTTATACAACCTAAAATGGCAAAAAAGCTGACGACCCACCTGATAGAAAGTGGTAACCATCGCCTATAGACATGAGCGGTATCATGGACATAACAGAGTGTTCACGCCATATCTCACCCTTCAAACCGCAACACAGCCATGCAAACACAACTGCTTCACGGTAGAAACACGAATGGGGCAGAGGTACCCAAGCAATCGACTTTTGTACAAAGTCTCATATAGAAATTAATTATACGAGCTACATAACCTCACTAATCGCCTGATACCCAAGACTGAAGTGAAGTACCCTCTGTTATGAGGAATCAGACAACAAAAATCTAGGGGCATCCAGAACAGCTGAAGATTTCTGTAGGTTTGTTTTAAAGGCATCCACAATTTTTTGATAAAACAAACAATTCAAAATATTTACCTGAATTATTTTGTATTCTTATACTATTGTTAATATTATAACAGTTTCTATATTTACAGATTAAATTCATTTCACAAATTACAATACTCATAAAACTAATACATTTCACAGAATCACAAAAAAAAAAAATCAACAATCAGTCCCACTCATGTTCCGTACCCGACCCAAAGGTCCCCATGACACTTGCGGCATTTCCGCGTTGGATTGCCAGAGATATCCTTTGAGCCAGATACGAACCGGAACCACTAATCATGCCCCCTATCCGCAATGCGCAGACTCAACTCTTTTAATCATGATAGAAAAAAATCTAAGAACTTCCCATAACAAAAACATAATGGAACTGCGCAACATACGTTATGCCTAGACAAAGAAGAGTTAAGTACGAACAGCCACAGGAAACCGGATAGCATAATGATGTTTGTGGCTTTGAGAAAAAGTCATTACATAATGTAAAGTCATGATTTAAAATGATCAAATAATGATGTCCAGGGAGTACAGTAAACAGTACACTCTGTTATGTCCATGGCACTGCTCATGTCTATAGGCGACGGTTACCACTTTCCATCAGGTGGGCCGTGAGCTTGTTTGCCATTCTAAGTTGTATAAAAAAAATATGTGATAGATTGTGTATTAAGTATTGGCTCTATATTTAATATCTACTCTTTATTTGATTTACATTTAATTTTTTGGACGTAGAAGCAACTAAGCATCTTCTCCCGGACAAACATTATATCTACAGCCTAAATGGTCGCGTACAACGCGGTTTCAGAGATGCTTTCTCCCACGAACACTCAGCTCCCTGCCGAGGTTTTCCCGAGAGACTACAGCATGGGGTTCTTCAAAAGGGGGGTAAAGAGGTTTCTTCAGGGTCGGCAACGCGCGCGTAATACCTCTGGTATTGCAGGCGTTGATAGGCTACGGTAACCGCTTACCATCAGGTAGGCCGTATGCTTGTTTGCCACCTCAGTGGTATAAAAAAAAATCCCGGACGTAAATATTACTTTATTGCTAATTAATTCGTCCGCGTGACCGGAATATTATTGATTGCCTACGATAACATTTAAACTATGTTTTTCTCCATCATAAATATTATGTGTTTATCAAATTTCATGCCGATTGGTTGAGCTCAAGGAGTAAAAAGTTATTTTTACTTTTACTACAATATTAGTAAATAATGAAAATTGTTACAAATACATTGCAAAAATTTGAAATAATTAAAGACTGTGTTCCACAGAAAACATCGATTTGAATTTTTTTTTTTTATTTTTTTTTGGTACAAGCAGTCATTATAAAAAAATATAGTTATATTTCTTTTTTATGTTATATAAAAATAGGCAACCAGTACCGAAATAGTAGAAAATATTGTAGTAAATTATGACAAAACGTGTTATTTTTATTTAAAAACAACTAATAAATCGATTTTGATAACATTTGTATGGGACCAATATGTAAGTACATCCTTTCAGATTACAAAAAAAAATCAAACGGGTTTAAAACGGATGGAGTTATGAGGTAATAAACTTAAAAAAAACCGCCAAATTGAGAACTTTTTTGAAGTCAGTTAAAAAATGGAATATAATTGTAATATTTATACGCGTATTTCGTTAACAGGGTCTTTTTTTGATGGGTGACAATGGTATGGTAACCCCGCCTGCGCTAACGGGATACGCTGGCGGAGCGCCAGTGAAGGGTGATAGATGAGAATGAAAACAGGCCAGTTAGCCCATCATGATGGATTCATCAGGAATCAACCATGATAGTTTCCAGGGAGAAACGCGAGAAGGTCGACCTGGTTGGGTATATTGCTAGCAATGGGATTCTCAGTCTCCATTACTAACAATCCTTTTCCCCCTCGTTAACAGGGTCATCATAACTTTACATAAAAAATGTTGACATAAAATATGTACCGTAGCATTGCCTCCCTGTTTCATTTCAGCCGCGTCTCCCGAGTAGGTACGTAGTACAAACATAGAAGGAAAACATAATATTTCTACGCAATATCCTATGCAAACCGAGCGGGCGGGATATTAATATGTCGCAGGGCGATGCATATTGCTTTATTCTGTTACTGTACTGCGTACGCTACATGTGCCGTGTTATAATGGATATATATATTTAAAATAACTATATTGATCAAAAGAAATTGTGGTACAAAATGCGGAATTAATACTAGTAGCATTCTCTACCAGTACCTTTGGGATGAACAGTGAATTACGAACGCGGTACTTCATTAATGGGATAGGTTATATATAGTTTCATTCGTGTTTCTACCGTGAAGCAGTTGTGTTTGCATGGCTGTGTTTCGGTTTGAAGGGTGGGATATGGCGTGAATTTACTGGGTACAGAGGAATAACACCTGAGTCCTCAGGAATGGCAACGCATGGGGGGGGGGGTATCATAGGCGAAACAGTATACTGTTATGTCCATGGTACTGCTCATGTCTATAGGCGACAGTTACCACTTTCCATCAGGTGGGCCGTCAGCTTGTTTGCCATTCTAAGTTGTATAAAAAAAAAAAAGACACTTCACGGTTGAAACACGAATGGGACAGAGGTGAGAATGGGACCCAAGCAATCGACTTTTGTACAAAGTCTCCCTCTGGTATTATAACTATATTATATTATTTTTTATTTTTATTTTTGTATATGCCGTAAATGTATTTTTATTTATTTTAAATAAAAATCTGCATTTTAATGAAAGTTTGCATTTTTTTCATATTGACAATTTTAATATTATTTGTAATTTTACATAAACTGTCAAAAACAATGTTTCATACAAAAACAGTAAAGAAGTTGCATTACTTAAATATAATTGCTCTTAACATTCCGCCCGCCATGGACGAATAGTCCATAACCTAAGTATAAAAAAAATATTAACCAAAACATATTGCTGTATTACATAAATATTTAACCCCAAGACCAGTTAACAACACATAAATAAAAAGCTATTTAACTCATAAAATTAAAAACAACATATTTCAGACACAACAACAATAGAGCATGAAAACATTAGAGCATTTAAATAACAATTATTGTAAAAGACAACATTAGAATTAAGCAATAAGAGTAATAAAACATTTAACATTCTGTCTATCACTGGCAAACAACAAAGTTTCAAAATTGGACGCTTAATTATCGAATTTTTGCAAAGCAAGCTAACTACGCGAGTGATAACGTCTTTTCCGGAATGCAACTCTGTAATTCGGTCAAACAACCATTTAGCTGGTGGAAGATTATCTTTCATTGCTAATATTATATCACCTACTTTAGATCCTGCTGTACAATTAGCCCATTTGTATTTATGAAAAAAATGTATCAAATGTGCTAAATCTAATAGTTTATTTAGTTTAAAAAATCTTATACAGATCGCTATTATGCTAATAAATTTCCTTAGTAAAGAAAATCTTGATACAATGTCAATATAATCATTTGCATTAATATCTGTTACATGAACCTTTACAATCCTTTCTTTCAAACGAGTTTCGTGCCTCTAGGTTCTGTACGTACGTATTATATCCAAAGAGATTTTTCTAAGAGAGCTGTAAG